GATTGGAAGAGCGAAGAAGTGTTGGCTTCGATCAGAGATTGTTTTGTGACCGGGAAGTGGAGCGACACCGAAGACGCCAACAAACTATTGGCCGCCGATAACGACAACGCCGTCGAGGAATCGGACGAAGAATTATTCGGAGATTTTGAGGATTTGGAAACCGGAGAAAAGCATACGAACGAAGAGAACGAAGAAATTGATGACAAAGAGGAACCAAATAAAGAGTTGAGTGAAACGGAAAAGCGAATGGAGAAGAAGAGGCGGAGGAAAGCCATGTTTGACTCGGAATATGACGGTAAGGGCGGAGAAGGAGCCGAAGAGAAGACTTTTCTAGAATTAGAGAAAGAGAGACTCGAAGAACAGAGTCGGGTATGTATTGGCCCTTAAATATACATTATTTGATTGAGTGATATATTTATGATTTTGCAGTTAAATAGAAGTGAATTCGAGAACATGAGTGAAGAGCAGAGGATAGAGTTCGAGGGCTTCAGAGCCGGACTGTATTTGAGAGTCGAATTGGAGAACATTCCGAGCGAATTGGTTGACAACTTTGACGCCAGCTATCCGTTGATTGTGGGCGGACTTCTCAGCGGTGAGACGAGCATTGGTTTTGTTAGAGTGCGCATCAAAAAGCATCGCTGGTATAAGAAGATACTGAAAACACGCGATCCACTCATCCTATCGCTCGGTTGGAGACGATTTCAAACACAGCCCTTGTATTCAACGCAAGACGATAACGGACGCAATCGACTCCTTAAATACACGCCTCAACACATGCACTGTTACGCCTCCTTTTGGGGACCGATTACACCCCAAAACACGGGCTTTATTGCCGTCCAATCGGTGTCCGATGTGAGCGCCGATTTCCGAATCGCCGCCACCGGTGTTGTACTCGATATCGACAAGTCGTCCCAAATTGTGAAGAAACTCAAACTATTGGGAAATGCCGTCAAAATATACAAAAAGACTGCTTTTATTAAAGGCATGTTTAACACAGCGTTAGAAGTGACCAAATTTGAAGGCGCGGCCATCAGGACTGTGAGCGGCATAAGGGGTCAGATCAAGAAAGCGATTCGCGCGCCTCCCGGAGCCTTCAGAGCCACTTTTGAAGACAAAATATTGATGAGTGATATTGTGTTTCTGAGGACGTGGTATACAGTAGTGGTGCCTAAGTTCTACACAACCGTCACATCGCTATTACTGCCGCCAAACGAAAAGCTCAAATGGCAGGGAATGAAGACTGTGGGCCAACTGAGGCACGAACAGGGCTTACACGCGCCCAACAATGAGGACTCGCACTACACGCGCGAAATAGAGCGCAAAACATTCAATTTCAAACCCTTCACAATACCAAAAGCACTGCAACGAGAGCTGCCTTTTAAGTCAAAACCTAAACTCTTACCCAAAAAGGAGAATAAAGTGAAGAGAGTGGCAGTGGTTAGGGATCGTGAGGAACAACAGACTCATAATCTAATGAAAATGATTAGAGCATCGCATCGACACAAAATCAAGAAAGAAAAGGATGCGATGGCTGTCAGAGTGTCTAAACATAAGAAAGAAATGGCAAAAATCCAAAGCGGAAGAGAAGACAAACAAAGAGAGACTAAAAAGAGAATATTTCGGGCGAAGAGTCAAAAGAGCAAAAAACCCAGCGATTAATTGAATTAGTATTTATATTTTGATAATTGAATAAAATATGAAAAATCATTATTATTTAAAAGTATATAAAAATTGATTCGTTGATAAATATTCTACAATTGGTGTTAAGTTTCATGCGATTCACTAAAATGTCTTACATTTGTTTGTTATGAAAGAATTGTCGGACAGAAGAGAACGCTTTAGCGAACGAATCGTAACACGAGAGCCGAGATCTGATCCAATCGGGAAGGTTTTGCCTTATGTTCGCTCTGTTTGTATATCTATTGTCTAAAAGAATAATAACCGCGAAATCGTCTTTATGTCGAATTGCTCTTCCGATTGATTGGTTCACTGCTTTCATACATAAGTTTTCATAAAACACCTAAAAACACATGAAACACATAATTGAATAATTACAAACATTGGCAAACAAAATACAGCTTACATTTCCGGACTCGGGTTTCAATGAATTCAAATAATTGATTCTCTCTTTCAATTCAAGCGACACAAACAATCGCATGCCGTCTGGCTGTTGTTACTGAGGAGCTGGGTTTACCAGCGACTTTAACTAAGGAAGTGAGTAAAACGGCGGCTGCTGTGTGTATTCATAGCGAGGAAAAAACAACACTGGTGTAATTGCACGGTTATAGTCACCGAGAATTGTCTGAACCATCGATGACTTCCTGGGCTCCCGAAACACAGTCTTTCCTTTGGCTTCAATACTTTTGATGATTCCTGATTTTTGCCACACTTTATAGTAATTGTCTTCGAAATCATAAGACGGGAAAAAGCAAACAATTCCGTCCGGAATGACAGCACACATGTTGGCAATGGTTTTGCCCGTTTCCTCAATCATTGAAGTGTTGGTTCGGTTTTGAAATGTATAGTTAAGTTGCCTTCCATTTGGTCCCATTCCAAGACATATAGCTGATAGGTTAGAGTCAGGAATCACGTGTCCGCACGAAAATGTTACCAACCGTTCAGAAGTGATGCCCAAAGGCTTGAATAAGTGGTCAATATATTCATCAAACGGTTTCATTGTTCCGCCGCAGAGGACAACAGAACGACATTCGCTGACAATGTCTTTGAATTGAGAAAATGGATTCAATAAAATATATTTAACGCAAGAATTTCGTAGAGAATTTGTATCAAAATTTGTTATAATCTTTGCGTTTGCTTTCGAATCAATCAATGCTTTGAGAAATTCTATGATTATATATAAAGGAGAGCCAAATATTTTGGTTTCTTCATCAGCGGCCGAATCATTGGAAGCGATTGCTTGCACTTCAATAGACTTGCCTTTCATTTTCGCTAAGAAAGCTGTCGTTCCGTTCGCTTTCTTCTCGCTTTTCTCATCAATTTTAACGCAATTTTTTCTTTTGGAAAATCCAAAGAGTTTTCGCGCGATTTGACTCTTTTGGCAATAATCGAGAATTTGATATAAATTCAAATTTTCGATCCCAAGCCGAATGAGAAACTCGACTCTTTCGGACACATTGTGACCACCGATTTGAGCGCTCGCTTTGAAATGTTTAATAAACTCATTCAAAATGAACGCAATCTGTTTGATATGCATTGTATTTCTGGCACTTAAACGGCTCTTATATCTCATGAGGTATGCATTGAGTTGTGAGAGAGTGTCGATGATATGCGAGCCCTTCAGTTCAATGGAGTGGATATTATGGATGGTTTCCATGAGATTGTGCGCCTCGTCTATCACCACAACACTTCCCTTAAGATTGATTCCATACGACTCTCGAGTCGCCGAATGGAGTAATATATTGTACGGAAGGATAACAATCTCGGCCTCAGGAATAGCCAATCGTGTGCTATAATAAGGACACGCTTTGATCCCTTTGCCTAATTTGGTGATGTCTTCGATGTCCAACACATCGGCTAAGACCTCATCTCTGAGTTCATTAATCACATTGTGTTTAAACATTTGACACTTTAATTGACTATTACTTGAATTTTGTAATTCAATGCACTTTTCGTTAATCAGATTATTATTATTGAGTCGTAAGACCCGTTCGTTAATACAGTAATTACTTCTGGAGCCCAACGGAACCAACCGAAGAGGTGTCTCCTCTCGAGAGTACGCCGTCTTCTGGATCTCACGTATGAATTGTGAGAGTTGTGAATGAGTGCGACTGCAGTAATACATCTTCGGCGCCACAAACCCGTCGCCCACTTCACTGCTCTTCTCGTCCACCACTTCATCGTCACTACAATAGTCCACAAAGTCTTCGTCCACTCCATCGCCACTCAATGGATCCAATTCTTGGTCACCGTTTGTGTCACTTGTCTTCGCCTTTTTGGTCACATTCTTGTGCTTTAATACAAACTTTTGTCTAACAATTGAGTTATTTCTTCGGTCGAGAAGTAATTTGTTTCGTTTGTCCTTCGCTTCAAAAGCTGTCAATTGTTTGACAATCACTTCCTTCTGACGACAAACCGACGACTTCTTGTCCTGCAATTCAATCCAATCGGAGCTCACTTTACTCTCGGCGTCCAGTCGTTGGATCTCTTCATCGCATCGCTTGAGTTGACGCGAAAGTGTATCCAATTGTTTGTCGTGGAAGTCATGGATCCACTTAATGGTGGCGCAGATTATNCGTATGAATTGTGAGAGTTGTGAATGAGTGCGACTGCAGTAATACATCTTCGGCGCCACAAACCCGTCGCCCACTTCACTGCTCTTCTCGTCCACCACTTCATCGTCACTACAATAGTCCACAAAGTCTTCGTCCACTCCATCGCCACTCAATGGATCCAATTCCTGGTCACCGTTTGTGTCACTTTTCTTCAACTTTTTGGTCACATTCTTGTGCTTTAATACAAACTTTTGTCTAACAATTGAGTTATTTCTTCGGTCGAGAAGTGATTTGTTTCGTTTGTCCTTCGCTTCAAAAGCTGTCAATTGTTTGACAATCACTTCCTTCTGACGACAAACCGACGACTTCTTGTCCTGCAATTCAATCCAATCGGAGCTCACTTTACTCTCGGCGTCCAGTCGTTGGATCTCTTCATCGCATCGCTTGAGTTGACGCGAAAGTGTATCCAATTGTTTGTCGTGGAAGTCATGGATCCACTTAATGGTGGCGCAGATTATGCTCAACGACTTCCCGGTTCCGGTGGGGCTCTCGAGGATTGCCATCTTCTGCTCGTCCAGCGCTCCATACATGGCGTCCATCAGCTGTTCCTGAATGTCGTACGCGATGTACGGGAAGTGATATCCGGACGAAGACATCACTACTACTGTTGGCACACAATTGGACACCAATTGAGACAATAATTGATCACAACTTTCAACACAAAAATCATTTTTCAAAACATTTTTCAATGCATTCAATGTTTTGCCGCCTTTTATATCCAATTATGCAATCGTTTCACACATTTGTTTAGCCGTATATTCAGTCCCTTTTAATATAGCTTTCAATACATAATGAATACGTGTTATTGTGAACACAAAAGGGACCAAACATTGGCTGAGTTGGTGTCAACTCATGTGACAAATGAAACAAAATTTGAATTCTCTGAACGTCTGGTCGTATGACATGTACTGAACGTCTGGTTTGACTCCAACAGTGTTTGCCATTCATTCCTCGCGAGTGAACACACGATGTCTACCATTGGTATGGAGTGTGCGATACATGAGTCGAAATGGCATTTATGGACACGAGTTGGACACCAGCTGTGCGTCCAATGCAGTCAACACAAGTGGTCGTCTCCTCTCGAGAATCACTTTACGCGCAGAAAACTTGTGGAAGAGTTGGAGAACGCGCTGAGGAATGGATCCGTTTGGGTGACCACTCATCTCACTTCACACCACTTCGGCGTCGATGAAAGGCTCGCATTCGTCGTATCCATCGCTCAACTGGTCTTCGATGCGGACACTAATGTCCAAAAGTGTGCCAATAATTGTAATGCAATCAAAGTTGGGTTGCATTGGATTCAAGCGACTAATCGGTTGATGTCTTCTTCCCTCGGCTTTAGGTCTGAAACTAATATTATCTCAACTCAACGACAACTCAATCGTGGATTTGGTCACCGATTATATCATTGAAGAGGTATTCAATTTGAATGAATGAAAGAATCGATGTTTTAATGATTAGTTTTGTTAATTTGATTGTTTAGTTGACTTCCGATGACAAACCTTTGAGCGAATGGTCACTGGATTTGGTGTCACATTGTCTGCCATTCTGTACCACTGATGGCATACGAGACCATCGGATCACTGATAGGAGTAATTAGTTATTGATTGCATTGAATCGATTGTAATTGATATGAATATCACTTTCAGTGTCTAATGTGTTGGAAGCTCTTCGCGAAGAGTATCCCAAACACGACAGTCGACTGAAACGAGTGGTACTGAAGCTGTTCATCACGATCTACGACACGTTGGGAGCGAACCAATTGTTTCGTTTGGACCAACGATTCCACGCCAAGACATTTCACATGGTTTTGATAGCTTTCGAACCGCAAAGCATCGGTTCCGACGATAACGATATCCTCTATAATTCAACGCAATTACTGAAGAAAGTATCGACCATTGAATCGGTTCTCCAACTTCTTGTCACGAATCAAAATCTATTGAAATATTTGCACATTTTGTTGGCCAACGAATGCGAAGAACTCAGAGTTTATGTATTGGTTTGGATTTGCGATCTCTTGGAGAACGAGTCGATTCAGAAGCGATTCGCTAATATTCTGCTCAACGATAAAATGGATTCATTTATTGAGATGTTGTTGTCGTCGGACAACCCTTTTATCTCTAAGTAAGTAACTATTTGTTGCCATAAATACAGTGTTTAATGGAAAGCAATTATCCTTTAATCCAATGTGTAGTCATTTACTGAATTGCGTTAACTTAATCCTAACCAACATCGGTCGACCCGTTGGTGCGACAAGAGTTAGCCCGTTATCTAATGCTGTGATTAAAGCCCTCGAGATTTCTGTTGTTTGTAAAGACAGTAATTTATTCATCAATGGATTGGCGGCGTTGAGACAATTAATGCAAAGGTAAACTCATCTCTCAATGTAATTCTAGTTGTATTTATTGTTTGTTTAATTGCTTAGAAACCCAAGCGTTGAATTGTTTTCTGAATTTGAGTTTTTCGCACTCATCGATATGTTGGAGATCTTTATATCCAATTTCGATCTCTTTTTATATGTCGTAAAGTTTTTGTCTGATTTTCTAAACATATCAGTCATTCCGACACTAATTCCGACTGAAAAAATGAAAGCAATTCTGACAAAAGTGTTGCAAAACGTTTCATTTGACTCGACTGGCGCTGAAGAAGAAGACATCGATGAGTCTATTAGACGAACGACATGTGCTGTCGAACTAATCAAATCGTATCTTAATTTAGTCAATGATATAAAAAACAGAGAATTGAATCTCAAAGAGTCGAAAGACAATAGTATTTATCTATTGAACGGCGAAATGAAGCCTCAATTGAATGAAATGGATTTGTGCGATGAAAATGAATCGCAAACTTTCGATTTGGCCAAAGCTTGCAAAGAGACCGAAATATATGAGTTTTTGTCATTCTGTTTGACAACAATCGAGAATATATTTGAATTGTCTTTAGAGCGACTCATTAAAGACGAAAACTCGCAACAAAATGCCATTCTCTTTGAGACACTCATGTCATGCCTTATCATTATATTAGACACTGATTTGCATACAACCGAATCGATCAATGCATTAGTGAAGCGAACATTTTCCAACGGACACGTGTTAACACTCATTCAAATTGTGTCAATTTGTGAGTTTCCCTTCAATACACCACAATTTAAGCAACAATCGGTTATTCTGTTGTCGTATTTTCTGTTCAAAATTCTTGAGAACGACCACAAGAATGAGATTTATTTCCAAACCGACCAAACCTTTGACAGGAGTTATTTTGAAAGCGGATTCAATCAAATTAACAGTTAGTATTATTTAGACTTATATTACTTTAAGTTTGAACTAATTCTAAATACAATTGCAGACAATCTAATATTTCGATTGACCAGAAATGCGTTGCCTTACGATAGCAACGATTCTGTGCACCAGTTTTACAGAACTTTTTTCGCCGCACATTATTATAGCCTTAGATGTGACGTAACGTATGTAACAATGATTGCTAATAACACTATATATCCGTATTTAAAGCGTTATTTAAATGTTCACATTTAGGAAATACCAAAGGAATGAAGAGTATAACAAGTTTTTTATAACTATTTTGAATCAATACATGAAACGCGACTTGAGTTACGACCAGAACTCTGCGCTAACCGTGAAGTACTCGCTATTATTGGCCGCAATGACCCATTTGGACGCACAAAGCATTGCGGCGTTGAGACAATTCTTTAACGATAGGAATCACAACTTCTATGCCATGTATTACACGAATCATATCGTTGTCCTCAACTGGTTGTTCAATGTATTGAAAAGCGATCACTTCTGCGAATACGCGTTGCGGGAGTTCTTCGAAACGATTCCCGAGAACTACAGTCAACACGAGAAGAAAGAGATCATCTCTTCATTCTTCCAACTCATTCACACCAACGATAAAGCGCTCCAAATATTGATTCAAATCATTTGCGATACGATTACCAACGCATCGGTTCTGGAGATTATTTATAAGATTTTGAACGATTTCGACCAATTCTTGGATGAGTCCGACATTTGCAACAATTGGAACCTATTTTGTAATAAAATTTTGGACAATTTGCCCGCAATTATCATCAGAATTGTGGACAGAATTAAGAATTTATTCAATGATGATATCAATCCGGAAGAGGAGGAAAAGGCGATGAAGATGTTGGACCTGTTGTGTCGAATGTTGTCAAAGCATTCAGAAATGTGTGATTTTAAATCAAAGCACTTGCAATTGGAGGCACTTATGACCAAACTGTTGGAGTTTATTGAGAACAATCTGTCGGTTAACACAATCTCTCAAATATTGCAATTTATAAGATTGTGTTTCAAATCGTCGTCTCATTTGGGATTAAATGAACACCAAATTAGCGAAATTGTGTTGAATTCCAAAGTTTTAATGGTTTTAATGATGACTTATTTGACGAGCGATTCAGCGACAGAACTAATGAAAGAAAGTTCGCTTTACTTGTTAGCAGTTTTAAGCGAAAACAAAATTAAATACAAAATTCGACACCAATTGGTATATAAGATGCAGTTGAATGAAATGAGTCAATACCTCAACAATGACTCCAAAAGTGCGTCCGAAAGTGCTTTCAATTTGTTGTACAATTCATTCAAAAGTGATACTTATTTTGTGTCACACAATAAGAGCAATGAAGAGAAATGCGATGAAATGAGACAATTGTTGCTTCACTTACTCAACGCATACTTCAGAACACATATAACTTTAACACAAATGACTGATTTGTTGACCCGAATCTTTGACGGCTTGTCTTCATTTGGATCTGAATTACGCAAACATTTGGCCAGAAATCCGTGGTTTGAGTTAATTATTACCAAATATATTAATGAAAAGAAAATTTTGGACAAAGAGTTGTTTGCATTCCTCTTAATGTTCTTTAAAATGGATGTTATTAACAGAGCTCTCACTGATGTCACAAATGAATTGACCGTAAAGTATATCCAATTCATTAATGAACCCAAAGGCAAGTCAGTCATTGAACCGGGCATTGAATCCCAAAATATTTCGTTTAAAAGTCAAGTATTAGAGATCTTAAGAGCAGTCAATTCCGGTGTTTATAACAATGTATTAAACAATGATATAAAGAAGAGTTTAAGCGATTTGATTGTTGACAACAATTCTAATTAACACACTATTTACATGTAAATTGACTTTTTAATTGACACATTTTAATTACTTTTGTTTTAATATTGAATTACATTTGTTTTAATATCGCATTTAATTAATTCTTCATACTTGTTGTCCGGTGAGGGAATCTCTTTGTTTCATAGTTTCAGTTCTTAGTGATCACCTCTTTGTGGGTTTTTATAGTCATTTTATTTGAAATCATATCAAACTTACCACATGTTATAGTTGTGATTTCATAATTCTTGTCAACAGATACCTATTAGTCCTCATTTCCATTGCTTTCATCTCTATAACAATTGCCTCAACTATAAGAGAAACAAAATATGCAATTTTAAAATATGTTTTGAAACACTAAATTAGAAACAATGTTAATAATACACTATTATTACACTAATAAATGAAAAATACATTTTTAATATATTTTCTAAAATAAAATAAATATTCTTTTGGTCAATACTTTGCTTTTTGTTTAAATACCTTTTTAAATGAGTTTTACCATAAGTGTATTAAATTTTATTATTATTATTCTTATAAACATGTTTATGGATTTAAAAATTAACATTTTCTTAACATTAAATAAAACTAGTAATGTATTTGTAATAATAAATATAGTAATGAATAGCAATGCAAAAAAGCATACCATAAGTGTACTAAATTATAATTGATTTTATAAAATATGCAAAATATTACATTATCATACAATTTGGATGTAAAGTGACTTTTAATTTAATACATTTTTAATTATTTTTGTTTTAATATAAAAATAAAGTTTATCCAAACTTATTGTCCGGCAAATCAATGATCTCTTCTTTTATTATAGTAGGCTTCAGATTCTCAGTAATGATCTCTTCTTTATCTGATATAATCTCTTTGTCTCCAATCATATGAAAGCCATTGTTTGGAAGTGTTATAATTCTCTCTTCAATATTCTTGCCGGGAATACGTCTCCATTGGCCCTCATTTGCAGCCATTATATTCATGTCATTTCCATTCCCACTGTCTTTTGGGTTGAATAGAAATTGGTTTGAATCCATTATTTCGTGGTTTTCTTCATTTCTGTTATTTTGATGTGTTTTAACCACCATTTCGTTCCTTTTAATTGAAATGTGTTTTTCTACTTTACTTTCACTCAATTTTTTAAAACTTTTATTTTTCTGTTGAGATGTAATTCCTATTTGTTTTTTATTTTGATTTTTCTTTTGAGATGTAATTCCTATTTGTTTTTTGTTTTGAATGGATTTGTGAGTAGTTGTCGTTGTCTTCTTGTTTGCATGCATTTTATTGTCCACTTTATGTTTGCCATCAATCTTGTGAGGAGTTGTTGTTCGCTTAGTACTTGCTTTAGTCGTGTGTTTTGTAGGCATTTGTGTGCTTCTAATTCTAACAGTGGTTTCTGTGATGAGATCTTCCATCAATTCAGTGGTAGACATCTGTTGTCGAAGTCGTTTTGGATCATTAATCCATTGGACTTCAGCATCGATTTCATCGGCGGTATCGTCGAAATGAAAGTCGAAATCTGTTATTTGAATCGTAGGCTTATTCGCCAGAACCGGGTTTACTATGAATTCGTAGCCACTCTTTGCCTGAAATACACATTTTTTAAATAGAAAAGTTGTTTCAACTATTTATTAAATTAAAAGTTTGATTTACATCGCCTTCAGCTCTACAACAATCGCCTAAAATACAAGAGACAAACAAAATGTGCAAATCTTTAATAATGTTTTACATTATAAATGAATGCAATCTCAAAATACTGAAAAACTTACATTTGAAGCATAAAATTAGAAACAATGTTAACAATACTTTAATCAATGAAAGAAACAAATAATGCATTTTTAAATTAATGAATTTGCAAAGTAAATATAGTTTTTACAAATACTTTGTTTTTTATTTAAATGCCTTTTTATATTAGTTTTACAAAAAATATTAAATTTCATTTTCGTGCATTCAATCCGATTTTAAATATAAATATGTTTATTAAAAATTTTAATTAAATTTCTTATTATAGAAACCTTGTACTGTAATATACAGTATATTATAGTTCATAAATCATTTTAAATTATAGTAGATAGAAAGCATAGAAATTTAAGTTTTATTCTGTAAGTCTGTCTTTTATTTGCAACAATATTTTAAAAATGAGAGAAAAACATTCGACATGGTCAGACTCACTTGGTAAATATTTTGTTAAATATCTTATCTCAAAATTTGGTGAATTTTTAAAATAATACTTTTAGTTTTCTTGAAAAGAGTGTGTATTTTGCATAAAATTTAGTGATTTTGCTCTTAAATATGCCAATCGGGAATATTCTGAATATATGCTAAAATCGGGAATATTGGGGAAAATAAAAATGGTATATTATTACTTTATTATAACCTCCAAAACTAACTGGACATTCCCGAACATTCCAATAACTAATTTTATTCGGGAATTCCCGAAGAATCTCATCTCTATATATTAGTTATAAAAGTTTGAGTTCTAATTGTTAGCCTAATAATTGCAAACTAATTTCGTTGTTAAAAGTTTGTACAGTGGATACAAGTGCTGTAAAGACGTTGTGCTGTAAAGTGAATGTACAGTACAGTAAGCCCTCAAGCATTAAAAGCCCAGTTATTTGCTTAACATATTTGATGTGTTGTTTGGTATGATATGAGAGCCAATGAGAGGTGAGTTTGAGTCCATAACTAACGTTGGATTCGTGAAGACATGTAAACAACATTTGTATTGCTTTTCTATTGAATGATTGAATCGTTGATTGCTTTCATTTATTCATTCATTTAATGATTAAAGCATTTAATTATGAATAATAAACAATCAAAACATTTGGTTAAGGTTTGTATCAATTGTTTTATGCATTTCTGTGCCATTCAGTGACCAAATGATTGACAAATTTATGTCTTCAGACGAGACAACAGTTTAAGGACTCAAATGCCAAAGAAGTGGAAGAATGGAAACGATTGAAGCAAATGAAAGACAAGGAACGGATCAGTCGTCTCCAGAAGCAAGAAATGGAAACAATTAATAAACAGTTAATCGATTTGAGAGAAGAATATCGAAGAATCTGTGGTGAGAGAGGAAGAGCTCACAAATGGGCGACAATTGTGTCGAAACAGGAGACGGAAAGACAAGAGTTTGAGAAGAGGAGGAATAAGGATGTGATGAAAAGGTCGACACAATCGTTGAATCAATTCATTACTCAGAATAACGTTAAACAAAATGATCTCAAAATTGAAAAAGAAAACCAAATTTTAAAACGAAAACAATTAATGAAGAGTTCGTTATATAAGCAAAATGTTGCCGAAGAAGACGTCCATATATTAAGACAATTACAAAGTTTACAAAAATCTGAAGATTTGTTGCGAGAAGTGATTGAAAAGAAGCGAGAAGTGAGTCATTCGGAAGAGTCTATCGAAAGGAATGCCGAAAGACTTTTTTGGCCAAAAAAATTGGTCCCAAAACAAGACTTTCTTCGGACTCAAAGTGTTTCGAGTAGTAATTTGACTGAGAATTCGGTTCAGAATAACGACACAAAGGATTCGTCTGTGAATAGAGATGAAGAAGTGAGGGATGAGTTGCAGATGAGTGTCAATACGGAAGAGTATTTGCCGACAAGTATTGCCATTAAATTGTATGAAAGACTTAAAAATCGCCGAAAAAATGTGGAACAAAAAAGTGAAAAGATATACAGAAATGCGGCCATAAGTACAGACAGTCCTATCAAATCAGCGCTCATTAATGTCGACTCCAATGACTCCGAAACGGAACAAAATTCAAGTGAAACGAGTTGTCAAACGAGTTATCTATCGGTTCCGATGCCATCAAACAGAGCGGCCATTGCTTTGTCTGATTTGTATAATGATGAATGCCTTCATTTGAAAACATTTTTAATTAATTACAAAATTTCGCTCAAAATTTTAATGTTTATTATAAATGACTAATTTTTAATGATTTTATATTGAATTGCATTTTTATACGAATTGTTTTAAAAATATATTTAAATGATTATTTTTTACACAGTATTTTAATACTTAAAATTACAATAAAATATTTTATGACAATTCTTTTGTATGTATACTAATAATGAATTACATGATCACTGATTATTTATTTTAAAAATGTCCAAATATTTCTATTTGGTTTATGCATACAATAGTAAAGTATTAAATGAATGTGCAGTACACCTAGTGTAGATGAGGCACAATAGGCAACCTGGTACTTTAAGTATTTGTGAGTTGCACTAATTGTTTAACTAATATTTTATCTTGTATAAATATAATTATTTGAATTTCAATGTAATTCAGAAAATTCTACTGTAGATACAGATCCATAATATGTACAGAAGAGTGTACGGAGAGGCAGAAATTGAATTAAGTTTGAATGGTTTTGTATGGAGTGCGCATGGATTAAGTGGTCATACTATACTGTATGCGAGAGAGAGGGAGAGCTCAGATGAAGTCATTGGTGCCAATACTGCGGTCTAAAGGATCGCAGTATTCAAGACATTGATCGGCGAAGAAGAGCCTCATATAATACTCTCTCT